AACATATGCCTCTACCCAGAAACCGGTGTCACAACATTCACGGCTAACTCAAGCCTCAAACACCACTTTTTCTTTCAAATTTGGCTCCAACCCAATCGAATCTATACATAATCGACTTAACAACATTAATAAATGTTAAACAATCCAATTCAAATGCTTAATCGGAAAGCTCAGGCAGGAGTAGGATATTCCATATAAATCTTTCTGATCCGCTAGTTGGTGGTCCTCTCCTTAGAGTCAAGTGGCTTTCAGCTCCTCTCAAATCCCATTATTTCATCGACAGGTAGGGTGAATTCTAAGGTTCCTTATTCCGGTTGTAAAGCGGAAGAAGAAGGAGAATGGGCACAACCCCACTAGCAGCCCGCGTTTCCGACCCGAAAGGAATGGAAAATGAAAGAAGAATCTGTGTGCTTCTAGCTTTCTACTCATTCTTCCCAAAAATCCAAAAATCGACCCCAGACCCGCTTGGTCAAAATATGAGGTTCGGACCAAAACCCGATCACCCATTCACCCACGAGCCCGAATATATAATTTATTTTTAAATCCGACCCCAAAACAAGGTCTAAATCATAAATAATCAAAAAGCCCTAATTCTACCCAAATCCCTAATTTTCTACCCTTAATCCCATGTTTTAGGCTTAGAAATCTAATGGGTGTTGATAAAAATGGAAGAAAACAAGTTAAAGATTACTTACCCAAGAGGTTATGGTGAAGAAAAACTTCAAAAATTGCCTAAGAGCTTTGGAGAAGAAGAGGTTTGTGAAGTTTTTATAAAATCCCGAAAGTGTTCTGTTTTTGGTCTTTTTAAAAATAACTAGGCGAAAATGCCCTTCGCGTTCGCGATGGGTCAGGCTGGATAAGACTTTCGTTCGCGTACACGGGATCGCGTTCGCGGAGAGTAATCTCCTCGAGCCCTTGCGTTCGCGTCCAAGGGGTCGCGTTCCGTAAGGTAAATGCCCCACCCCTGCCCAGGCCCACTTGGCCTTCGCGTTCGTGTGGCCAGGACCGCGTTCGCGAAAGTATAGCCCCCCACTACCTCGCGTTCGCGTAGAAGGAATTTCCTTCGACAAAAATTAATGCATCGCGTTCGCGTGGGTTCTCCCGCGAACGCGAAGAAGAACGTATCAGTACACCAGATCAGCTGTTTTCTGCAATTTTCTTAAGTTCAAAACTTCCCGAAACACATCCGAAATACACCCGAGCCCTCGGGGCTCCTAACCTAACACATGTACTAACTCAACAACATCATACGAACTTATTCGTGCTATCAAATTGCCAAAATAACCTCAATAACAACGAATTAAACCTCCAAATCAAAGAATTTTTCTCAAACTTCATAAAACATCAACTTTAGCAATTTTGGTCCGAATCACGTCAAACGACGTCCGTTTTTTACCAAATTTTACAGAAATATCTTAAATCATATATAAAACCTGTACCGCGTACCGGAAACAAAATACGGGCCTGATACCATCATATTCTAATCAGATTTCATTCAAATTTCCTTAAACAATTTCAGAAAATAATTTTCTTTTAAAAAAAATCATTTATCGGGCTTAGGACCTCGGAATTCGATTCCGGGTCCGGGTCCGGGTCCGTTTATCCAAAATTCATTTCCTACGGACCCTCCGGGACCGTCAAATCACGGGTCCGGGTCTGTTTACCCAAAACGTTGATTGAAGTCAAATTAACTCATTTTATAACCAAATTTTATCATTTTTCACAGAATTTCATATAAGTTTTCCGACTATGCCCCCGGACTGCGCACGCAAATTAAGGTGACTCTAAATGAGGTTTTTAAGGCCTCGAAAACACAGTTTTAAAGGTTTTTAAGGCCTCATCACATTTATTAACTTGCCACTTGGCTTAACTATAATGTCAATTATATATGGTAACTTTCTTGCTTTAATATATATANTTCTGCGCAGGCTAAAAGTGAAAAAAGCCTCTACTTTTTGGAGTCCGGAACCAAAATATTATTTTTTTTGGGCTCAAAGCACAAAAATAGGTGAAAAAATCAACTGATGACCAATTTATATATAATGCATGAGTTGAATGCGTTATATGTTAGTAGACCCTCATGAATGGAAATATTAGTACCACATTTGCTTGAAGACAAAAATACACATTACTTTGCTCGAGAAAACTATATCGTTTTACCCTTGAGGCCTTGACTACATAAAAGATGTACTATACTAGAAATTCTGGTTTGCCTTTGACAAATATGTTGTATGTTAGATGTCTGGTTTGCCTTTGATGAGCTCTCGATTATTCTGTCTATCTTCATATTACAGCTGCAAATGCATCCATTATATATTTGTGTTTTATTAAACCAATTTATTTGATTTCCATTATTCTCTGCTTCAAAGTAAAAGTTTCCAATAGTATAAAGAAGATTAGAATCATCGGCTGTCAACTCCTTGGATAATTTTTTGTGTATTTTACATGAAATTGTTTGATCGCGCGAAGCACAAACAAATTTACTAGTTATAGATAATTTTTACCTCTTCGTATACACCATGTTATGATCCAATCTTTGCCTCTTCACGTGATTTTGAATGAGTGTTTAGACCAAATCATGTTAATATACAATAATTAGGTTATTTAATGAGGTAATACATATTATTTAACAATGGTTAAGTGTTATAAGTGTATGTGCAACATATGATATGCATTTATTAATTTCATATAAATGCCCGAGTGAATAAATTTTTACCCTACTAAAGCGCTAGTTCAAAAAATTCTCCTCTCCTCTCCTCTCCCTCTTCCTGCCTCCCAAGTCCTCAAAATCTGTCATTTTCGATTATTTCATTAATTATTAATATTCCAGATACGTCATGGTATAAGATTATTTGAACTACAAAATCAAACTAGACCATAGAGCAAGATTTAATTTTTAAGTAATAGAGAACAAATTAGATTTTATTTATCAACAAATTTTTATGTGGGGGCCATGCTTTTGCTTTTTATTATTATGAAAGAGTAACAAAGCCATTGGCACGCTATAATTAACGAATGTGAAAACTTATAAGGATCACATGAATGACTATTATTATACAACTACCTCTTTGTCTTTCTCTTTCCGGTTGGTAGATCAAATATTAAAACTATATAGGTTTTGAAATGAAAAAAACGTGTAAGAAATACTTGAAGTCACCTTTTGTTACTTAGGCTTGAGGTACATTTATTTTGCAAAGCCAAATTGTTTACCCAAAATTGGATAACAATTAAATTTGTACACGGTTTAAAAGATACGTGGTTTAATTCAACACGAATAATTAAGAATAACAGATAAATGAATTAAAGATGAAATAAACGATCAAACCACTCACAATGCTAAGACCAAGACTGATCTTAGATTGAATAGTGAGCTCGTTCTCAATCGGACCCTCAGTTCAAGCCTAGTCGCGAATAAGGAACATAACAAGTTAGTAATGTCGTTAACAGCAGCAACAGTAAACTTTTATCGCCTTGAACTGTGTGTTACAATGTGTCAGACTAAAGAAAAACTTCTCCTTTATATAGTAGGAGAGTTTTAGTCCTAGTATAAGTCTAGAAAAGGTAAAAATCTTTTTCTTCCTGGTAATTATTGATCCATAATCGATGTCGAACGAGATTCGCGTTGTAAACACGTAATTTTTTATCCACACAATTTTTAAAGTTAGTTTTAGTGTTTTAATATTTTTAAAATATTTACTTGAGTTATTATACAATTTTAGTCTATTTTATTTTTAATTTCAAAACATAATTTAAAAACACAAAAAATAAATTCAGTATTTTTTTCGTATTCATACTATTTTACTAGGATTTTATTTATTTTCCTCTACTTTTATTTTTATATAATCTTGAAAAATACCAAAAATAGTTTCACAATATAATATTATTTATTTAATTAATTAGAATTAGTTTTGTATTTTATAGTATAGATTTTATATTATTTTTAGAAGGGAGATTAAGATTCTTGGGTTGATATTGTCTTATTTCAATTNCAAGCGTACCCACTTTTCGCGTAACTTCAGATATACGGGTCTGAAGTAGCAAAAATTTATGTCTGAAGTTTGAACTTCAAAAATTTTTGCCTGAAGTGTAGCCTTATCAAATCAAAACTTCGGATATTTTTGCCTCAAGTTTGGCCTGACTTTCAAAGGCAATCACGCAAACTTCAATTTCATAGTGCAAATGGCAAACTTCAGCTCAATAAAACTACAACATATTTTGGCTGAAGTTTTTATTTTGCAATTGCTGAACTTCAGCATTCTAGGAGCTGAAGTTTGTTTTGTAATTGCTGAACTTCAACATTCTAGGAGCTGAAGTTTATTTTGTATTTGCTGAACTTCAGCATTCTAGGAACTGAAGTTTATGATTTGATGCCTTCATTATCCCATGACGACCAAATCCTGATCTATCAAGGGACTGTTAAGCAAGTTGTGCGGAAAATTGATAATTATTGATCAGTGACCCCACCTTATAATTTTCACCTTGCATATACATTCTTTCTATTGTGAACTGGTAAATCAAGCATATCATAATTACATGCTCGTATTCTATTCAAGTATATAATGTACAAAATAAAGACCTTGGAAATATGTTTTTATTCATATTGTTATTTCCCAAGGCAGAGTTTTCTAATTTTTGTTGCTATTACTATGATGAGGACATTTTTAATTTATAGGTTTGTTTTGTATTTGTTGTACTAAGAGGAATCATCTTTAGAATGCTTATGTTCCATGTAATGTGAGTGCCATGTGTTTGAGAGAGAAAAGAAGAAGAGGAAAAGAAGAGGAGGAAGAAAGGAGAGCATAGATCAGGAGGAAGAAAAGGAGGTTAAAGTTGTCAAAATTAAGGTATAGGTTAAAGAATTTTAATGAGTATATGTTAAATAAGAAAGATCAAATAAGTCGCTCAGTACAAGTTTTACAATTTTAGGATGTCCATGTTCTTTCAAGCCAATTCAACCAACCTGAGCTCAGTCTCCCTTAGCCCCTAAACCCAGACCCATCGACCCGCCCCAAGACCCGCCTAACCCGTAGCCCAGTTCCACAACCCGCCTACTTGAACCATCTGCCCGACCCAACTCTCTTTAAATCCTAGCCTTTTGTTTCATTTATAATTCTCAAAACCCTAAGCCTAATATCCTTAGTCAGTTGCACCCTGCCCTCTCCAAAACTCCGCCGCCGCCTACCACCCAAACCGCCGAAAATTCCCAAAAATCTAACCACCAACGTCGTCCCCTCCCCCTTGTCCATGTGGCATGAGACATAACGACCCGAATATTCCCCATTCTCTCATCCTCGTCTCTCAGGTGATTGAAGCCTCAAGAAGGTATGTGCTAGATGAATGCAGAGTGTGGGATTGATTTCAATTGATCCCAGCCCTTCGTTCATCAGGTGTTTGACTGACACAAGGGGGTTTTCCTAGTTATTTCATATATAAAAATTGCAAGCTTCTTCAGTTTCTTTTTTACTTCAAAAAATCAGAAAACAAAAAGAGATTTCAGTTTCTCTTCTCTTTGATTTTTGGTTTCAAAAATGGATTTCGCTTGAGGTATTGAGATTTGGTTCGAGTTCGTCGCCGTCGAGGTTCGGGCTCGTTGTTTCGGTTCGTGTTGCTGGAGTTTGTTTGACATTTTTTTTGTGCCTCCTGTTGCTGCCTTCATGTACATCAATTTTCAGATAGCAAATTAATTAAAATCTCATTTTCAGGTCCAATTCTAATATCTCTTGCCTTATTTTGTGGTGATCAAATTATGATGGGAGCCTAGGATCAAATAATAGAACTAGAGTGTTAGTAGAGGAAGATTTTTTTAGGACTTTGATGAAAATCGGCATGTTTCTTAGGTTCAAATGAAATCACTTCCATGCCTTCTTGTTACTATAGTTTCATTTCGCTCCTCCCTATTTGTTGGTGATAATGTCTGATTGTTCATGCGCATATATGTTCTTGATTGCTAAAGTTTGAAGGTTCTCGTTGTTGGTTTAGCTACAGTAAATGCAAGATCGTGCCTTTAGTGCTATCATGACTCGTGCTTCGCTACTAAGGCATTTTAATCTCATCCAGTTAATTGGCCAAATTGATCCTAGCTAGCAATTATTAAAAGGGTGTCAAATAGAAGTTTATGGTATTTATTTGGTGCACTTTTCTCTCGGCGACATGAACGATTAATGTGGATTTTGGACTAAAATCTTGAAATGTTAGCTAGTGATCATGTTTTTGTGATAACCTTTCCATGTCTTATAACTCTGTTTCCATAAATGAGATTTGAGTTAAAATTGGTTAAAGTTTCCTGTTTGGAGTGTTCTGATCATCATTTGTTTAGTTGTTTCAATCCATGACCTTGAGGCATGTTGAGATCCATGGTTTAAATCCATCTTGTTTGCTTAAGGGGATTCTGTTGGATACTATCACGACCCAAAATCCATTAAAAGTCGTGATGGCGCTTAACACCGATGTCAGGCAAGCCAACAATAATTTATTTAACTTAATTACTCATTTTAGTATTTGAAATCGTAATTTCCTTCAACTAAATAGTAAAAATAAAATTTACAGGGTAATTGATAATATTTCCCAACTACTACTGAACAACTCATAAGTACCCCCAAAACCCGGTGTTACAAGTACATGAGCATCAACTAGGAAGATAAAATAAAATACAACATCTGTCTCGAATACAAATTAGACAGAAAACTATAAATAACTCTGAAGGAGACTCTGCTGACAGCGGAATGTAATATGGAATGCAGCTCACCTAAGTCCCCACAATAACCACGCCTCTGCGCTCACAAGGCCACTAGGCATATATGTACCTACACAAAAATGTGCAGCAAGTGTAGTATGAGTACGTAAAACAAGCGTATCCAATAAGTATCCAGTCTAACCTCGAATAAATAGTGATGAGGGTTCGACTTCGACACTTACTATGTGCTAACTATAAAAGTGCCAATATTATATTTAAGCATGGAATACATAACACAGCTGAAAATTCAATATCCAGAAATAATCAACAAATCTTTTTTTACTAGTAGAAATTCCCAAATTCCTTTTCGTCATTAAACAATTTATATCTCAAGCCAATAAAGCAACATCAATTATTATTAGTTCCAAAGAGTTATCATGCGCAAGTCATGCCAAGATCGTACGGCCCGATCCAACATATAAATATAAATTGTCCACTGCCGAGAGTCGAACGGTACGAACCATAGATGCGTCAATTTAACCTGCCAAGGCGAATGGCCCGCTCCTATGAGAGTAGTGTAAATTTACCCTGCTCGCGGAATATATTTGAGACGCGGTTGAACATAGATTTCTCAAGTTATTATAATATTCCTCAATTCTTTTCAAAATACGAAATTTAAATGAAAACTTTCAAATCTTGAAATCCTTAATTTCAACTCTTCTCAAGGCAATTAATAAGCATGCTTGATCACAATTCTTTTCAAGAAAAATAATAAACATAATCAAATAATGGTATCAACAAGGCATGGTGTAAACCTAAAACTACCCGGACATAGACATAATAGTAGCTACGCACGGACACTCGTCACCTCGTGCGTACGTAGTCCCCACAAATAGAAGCACATATTAAATCAATTCACCTATGGGGTTAATTCCCTCTTACAAGATTAGAAAAGAGACTTACCTCGCTCCGAAGTTCCATAGGCGGCTCTCAAGCCTTCCAAACAACTCAACCCGTTGCCCAACGCTCCAAAACTAGTCAATAATAGTGCAAATCCATAAATATATACTATAATACTCATTATAATCCAATTTACAATAATTTCCAACTCCATTCGAAAAGTCGATAAAAATCACCCTAGGGCTCACGTGCCCGGATTCTGGAAATTTTTCGAAGATAAACTTTACCCATAACACCACGAACTCAAATATATAATTTATTCCAAATTCCATGTCCAATTTCGTGGTCAAAATCCAAAAAAATAAATTTCTAAGTTTTTCTTCAAAATCCCAAATTTCTATAAATTTTCATGCCTAAATCCATGTATAAACCTTGTATGTAGCTCACAACTAGTAGAAATTACTTACCTCATGCTTGATGATGAAAATGACACTCAAAAATCGGCTCCCATGGAAGAAGTGCAGTGAAAATGAGTCAAACCCTCGTTTTAAAGAAGCACACTGCCTAGCCCGACCTTCCCACCTGCAGTCCAATAGCCGCTCCTGCGGCTCCGCACCTACGGAAATGCTCCACCTGTGGCTCTATCTCAACCAGCAGCTTCCGCATTTGTGGGCAAAATAGTGTTTCTGCGCTTCCGCTTCTGCGATATCCCGTCCGCATCTACGCCTTCGCAGGTGCGAACATTCCCTTGCACCTGCGCTCCTACCCAACATACCTTCTACGACCCTTCCTGTTCGTTTTTGCAGCTCCGCACCTGCGGCCAAAACCTCGCAGGTGCGGTTACACCAGATGACAGAAGCTCCAGCATTGCTCCAAGCCCAAACTCCGATCGCTTACCATCCGGAATCCACCCGAGGCCCTCGGGACCTCAACCAATTGAACCAAAACGTCCCAAAATACTTTATGAACTTAGTCGATCCTTCAAATCACATCAAACAACATCAAAATAATGAATCGCACCCCAATTCAAGCTTAATGAACTTTTGAACTTCAAACTTCTACATTCGACGTCGAAACCTATCAAATCATGTTCGATTGACCTCAAATTTTGCACACAAGTCACATTCGACATTACGGTCCGACTCCAACTTCTGAAAATCGTAATCCAACCCCGATATCAAAAAGTTCACTCTCGGTCAAACTTCCCAAAAACCTTCAACTTTCTAACTTTTGCCAAATGACCCCGAAATGACCTACGGACCTCCAAATCTACATCTGGACGCACTCCCAATACCAAAATTACCATACGGAGCTATTCCCAAACTCGGAATCCCAATGGACATCGATAATATTGAAATGCCCTTTAGCCCAAATTTATAAAATTCTTCCAAAATGCCAACTTCCATAATAGGTGCTGAAAGGTTGTCGGGTCATCCAAACCGATCCGGACATACGCTCAAGTCCAAAATCATCATATGAACCTGCTGGAACCTTCAAATCTCGATTTCGAGGTTGCTTACTGAAATCCAACCTTAGTCAATTCTTCCAACCTAAAGCTTCCGAAATGAGATTTTTTTTCCCTTCCAAATCAACTCTGAACTTCCCAAAATTTAATTCTGACCATTGTGAGCACGTGATTTTTGCCCTAAATGAATTAATCCCATAAATTCAAAACAAAATAATTTCTTTCAGTGTTTGCAATTTTGTGGATTTTCGTGGCATTTTCTGTTAATTGTTTGTATTTTTGTTTGTGCATTTTAATTAGTGAAAATACAAAAAAAAATGTGTTGCATGTGCATTTAGGAGTTAATTTTTCATTTTAAGAATTATTTAGTAATTAAGTGGTTTTATAAAAGGAAAATCACAAAAATGGTCATTTTGCCCTTTTAATTTTAATTCGGATCTTGAGTAGTTTTTCTTTAATTTATTAATTGTGGTAATTAATTTTCTAAGATATTTGGTTTAGGAATTAATTTAGTTTTATTTTTAGTTTTAAATTAAAAGAAATTAGAAAAATTGAACAAAAACAGAGAGAAACAAAGAGTGTAAAGTCATATTTGGGCCAAGTCCTTAATTTTTTTACCCAAGCCCAAATGTTTCCTCCCATACCCGTTTTAATACCCGCTCAGATCCGGCCCAACTCCACACCACACCCACTTCACCCCATCTAGTGACCAAACGACACCGTTTTAATTACCTTTGATCTGGACCGTTGATTTCCTTGGATCAAACAGTCCGGAACTAAGGGTATCCTTAGTATATTATGGTCCTAACCTCACTACCCCCCCAAACCCCGTCTCTCATCTCTTTCATCTCCCTTTCAGAGAACTCCCACGAAACCCTAAATCGCCACCCCAGTTTCCACCGCCTCGAGCCCGGCGACGCCACCACCAGTCAGCCTCAAATCGATACCCTAGAACCCTCTCACTTACCTCGCTCTAAATCCCCACCCCATTACCCTCAAATCTTGCAAGAGCACTTCGAATATTAAATCCGAGTTCGAGCTCTAAAAGTTCGAAACCAATCCCTATCGAATCTGGTGGCATGCATCAACTCAAGCCTTTGTTTTTCATGATTTAAAGGTTGACTCACTAGTCACTACAAAGCTGATGTTGTTCGTTTGTTCTTAACAGAGAACAAGTGATTAGCATCAATTTTGTGTGAATCAGGGCATCAAATGTAACATCGAGCTCGATCGGTGAGTTTCTATCCATCTGCGTGTCCAGTTGTGTTTTAGTTCACTTTTCGTCCCTCTTCTCCTTTTCTCTGTGTGAAAACTTGACCAATTTTCTGATGTTTTGAATTGTTTTCTGTTCCCTCTATTTTTCTTTCAAGTCATTTTTCTTTAAAAAAATGTGTTTGTTCTTGACCTGTTGAGTTTTTATTAATGTTATAGTCAAGCCTCTGATTTTCTCCCGTTTTTTGTTAGCCTCATTAGTTTAATTTAATTAGGTTATTCTGATTTATTAATTGGATTAGTTAATTCCTTGCTTATTTGTGTCAATCAATTTAGTTTTTAGAAATCGTTTGTGTGTTCTTTTTTGTTACTAATTTGGTTGGGTTTATTTAGTTGTTTGGGCTTTGGGTCTGACCCATTTACAAAAGAAGGGCATCCCGTTCACTTAGTTAAACCGTTGGGTCAACTCGACCCATGACCCATTTGAGTTCCTGGAGGAGGAATTTTCAGAGGTTTAAAGGGTAGTTTGGGGTATTTGCTTAGGGGAATCTTTGTATAACTAATTAGGAAGCTTCTTAGAAGCTGACTTTGGGATTGTTTGGAAACTCTGAAAACTAAATAGGGATATATAGGCAAAAATGAAAACATGAAAAAGACTCAAATGAAAATCTGATTTCCCTAGCGCTGCCCTATTTTCTTGCCTATACAGGCACCTTTTCTTGAAGCTCAAGTCAGACTTGAAAAGAGAAAAAATTCTGGAAAAATTGAAACGGCTAACTCTAAAAACAATACTGAATTCGCTGCATTTTTGGTTGGAAATTGTTCAAAATTTGGTTTGGTTGCTGGATTTCTGAACTTTCCCATTAGCTAGAACCCTTGAAAACCATAAATTCTTGCATTCGAGTGAAAAATGGTCTGAGTTTCTGGGATTTCAAAACTTATTTTGGGAGTTGTCCGGTTTTGAGTCTACTGTTCCATTGAAGCTAATTCTGTTGTGATTTTCCCCTCTATTTGAGTCTGTTACTGTTGTTGCTTCTGTTCTGATCTCAACTCAGTTTTCCATTCTTTTGTTTTGTCGTTTGTTACCAGGTACATATTCTTGATCTTAAACATGTAATGACTGGCTCATGTGGTGTTTTGAAGAAAAGGAAGATTGATGTTTTTTATCAGATGTTTCCTTCTTTATTTCTTTTCTCGCTCAACTTATTGGTTCAATTTCATTGTCTTAGCATGTCTAAAGTAAGGTTGTGCTGTGAACGTTGAGACCTACATTGAAATTGTAATTGGACTGTTATTCAGTACTTGCTGATTTCCATTTGTTTTAATTCCCTAGGCTTTATTATTGTTAGAAGAGTTAATCGATTTTAAGTTCTCGGATGTGTTTGTAAGTTCAGATTACATAAATTTTCATAAATTACAAAATCAGTATAGTTAAGGTTGAGCATGTGTTTGAAATTTCTATACGTTCTAGTTACTGGGAATGAGGAAACTTATCATGTTGAAGTGTAATTAGCATTTTGCTGTTGGTATGGACTCAAACTCGAGTTTGATTCCTTGATTTTGGCCTTGGTGATATTTGGGCCCTTAAGTCTGGGCTTTAAGGTCTTTGGTAAAAGAAAGTAGAATGCCATGGCTACTTGGGCTTGTCCCTTAAGCCTGGAAGTTTGTTGGTTAATGCTGGATTTTTCTCATTGTGGGTCTAACTAAAAATGTATGTCACATAAGTTGGAAGCTTAGTTAGTAATTAAAACTCAGAATTTAATGTTAATGTAATTTCATATTTTTATATGGTTTTTGGTTGATCGTTACTTAATTGATTTTGCATAAGTTTTAATTTTGAGAATTGGGCCTAAAAGCTGGCCCAGTTATGGCATTCGAAAATCAGAATCGGTTTGCGTACTATCTGCTCTGGGACGTCCTTGTCGTCGCCAAATTGGGCCCAAGCTTGAATGCCTTGTAATCATGCTGCATACTTCTTGGCTATTTGAGCCCATAACATTTCGTCAAGTTCAACTCTTTAGCTAATTGTTATATGAGTTTGAATTGTCAATTAAGATCACTTTAAGTCTTCTCTTAATTAGTTAGCCTTCTTAAATAGAATTGAGGTGAGCCGTATCACATAACCTCAAATTGCATGGCCCTCACTTAATTAATCTCGTTCATCCTTAGAAATCGAGGCGTGTCATTTAGCGAACTTTTATGGCCCTCGCAAAGTTAACAACACATAGTCACTTTTAGGCGCGTTATTTAATAAGGTACATTCCTAAACTCGGGTGCGCATTTATGTGACCCAAATTCAAATCTCAACGATGTTAAAATATGTCGAAGACCTCGAGTGCATTTATGTGACGTGGTTCAAGACGGGTTTTAACAACATTGCAATATTCCTAAAATGATTAAAAGCGGTTAAAGTTTTAAAAATGCACATAGGTTTAAAATGTTTTAAATCAGATAATTAGGCCAATAATAACAGTTGAGCGACCATGCTAGAACCACAGAACTTAGGAATGCCTAACACCTTCTTCCGGGTTAATAGAATTCCTTACCCGAATTTCTGGTCCACGGACTGTTAAACAAAGTCAAATTTCCTTGATTCGGGATTTAAAACCGGTGACTTGGGACACCATAAATTATCCCAAGTGGCGACTTTGAATTTTTAATAAAATAATCCCGTTTCGATTGTCACTTTAAGTTGAAAAAAACTCCTTTATATACTCCTTTCCGGGGGTGTAGGTAAAAAGGAGGTGTAACAGTTCTGGCGACTCTGCTGGGGACCGAACCCAGAATCTCTGGTTCAGGGTTCAAGAATTCGAGCTTAGAATAATTTTTATATTTGGCTTTTATTTATTACCTGGTTTTAATTACATGTTGTTGCTTTTTATCGCGTTGATATTATCTGAACTGTATATAAACTGCTACGAAACCCTTCTCTTCTCATCTTCGGGTATGTGCTCGCTGGTCGAGACTCCCTATTCTTTTAGTGTCATACTTTGAAATAAGAAAGTGGCTCGGACAAGTTACTAAGCTGGATAGCCTTTTGGTTCCCGGTACGTAGCCCCCTCCTCGGCTCGAGTTGTCCGCTCGGGTACACAAGTCTAGAACAAATACCCAGGTTTTGAACCTAGAATAACTCAGCCTCATGCCGGATCCCTAGTAGGAACGTTTGTTTGCATCATGTGCATTTGACTTTGGAGACTCAACACAGGGGTTGGGTCTGTCTAGGACAGGTGTACCCGAAATATAAAGACCATTATGATGCATCTTACTTGCTACTTGTGCATTCATTTGCTTCAAATTTGCATGTTGACCGTCTTATAGGGAAAATTTAGAAAAGTTAATGAGGAGGCTGAGAGGGATAAGTGCCTGTTTTGAAAAATCAATGTCCAAAACATACCGAAACTTTGTCGAAATTTTGAAGAAAAAAAAAAAAGAAATTTTGTGGTTTTTAAAGACAAGAAAAAAAAAAGAAAATCTTTTTGTTTTTAGAAAAGAAAAAAAAGAAGTTGGTTTATTTTTGTCAAAATTGCTCGAACTACGCCAGTTTGATTCTCACAGGGTGTGAGATACGTGGACAACCCATCGGGTCCAACTTTTCTTTTATAAAAATAGCCCAAAAAGAACAAAAATCTTATAGTTGATTTGGCTCTATTGTTTGGTCATAATGTCTGGGCTGGCTTCTTCAGCGATAGCGCAGAGATAGTTAACAAATTTGCCTCCATGACGCCTCTGCTGTTAATATCCTTTGTATTCGATTTCTTTCTAGGAACTTTATCAGGTCAGATTTTTGTTTATATAATACTCATGACATATATTCCGCGAGATATATCATAGTATAAATTAGTTTTGCATTCAAAATAGTGATCTTTACAAAAATAGCCATCTATATTCGATATTTACAAAAATTGTCGTCTATATTCATTGCTTACCTTTTCTAGCCATATACATAGTTTATACATTTATTATACATAATTATACACATATAATACATACTTATGCATATATTATACCTCTACCAGCTATTTTTAGCTTAAACGGTTGGGGAGACGACTATTTGTGTTAATTCTTCTTCAAAATAACCTTACTAAAAGTGTAATCGAATTGATCAGGAGTGGCTAGGGGATGCGAGTGGCAACATTTGGCTATGTGCATCACCTTGGAGTTCAACCTACAAGCACAGGTAATTCAAATGCATGACATGCTCGGTTTTCTCTAGTATTCAGATAGACGGATTTTGGATATAATTTTTTTTTTAAATACTAAAGCTCATTTTATATTTTAAAATTATGAGTTAAGAATCTAATATTCGTCAAAATTTTAGTGATTTTTTAAAATCTATGTCTATGCTACGTATCAAAAGTTAATAATGGATTGAACGCAATTGAACGTAGGATTCATCTTGTGGCTTTAATATATTCTTTTTGGATTTTAATATATTAAATCGCAATTAATCTAGAATATAATTGAGGTGTAGTTAACTAATTAAAGTGTTTTTTTTTTTTTTTGAAAAATGACATTGTATAGTCGATTTTAAAATAATAGTCGAAAATATATATAAAATTTATACAAATTTTTTATATTTTTTCGGCTACCGAATGTAAATAGTTTCTGGCGCTGGCTAAAAGTGATAATACCCTCTTTATTTTTTAAACATGATGCAGGGTTTATGGATGGGCTTGATATGTGGTCTAGCTTGCCAAGCTTCTGGCTTATTGCTACTAACATTGTTTACCAGATGGGGAAAAGTAGAGGGCTCAACAAAAAGCAATAGAGAAAATGAACTTCTAGCTTAAGATTGAGTTCGTAAGAATAACTGAGTTGACTTTCTTATAAAAAATTTATTAGTTGAGTGATCGTACTGGTAAAGTTGTTGTCATGTGATCAGGAGGTCATGGGTTCAAGCCATGGAAATAGCCTTTTACAGATATAAGGTTGCGTACAATAAACCCTTGTGATCCGGTCCTTCCCCGGACCTTGGACATAGCGGAAGCTTAGTGCACCAGACTGCCCTTTTTGATCGTACGAGAAATTAATTCGAGAATAATTTGTGTACGGCCAATGGCGTACTTGTTGGCCATTATTGATTGAGTTTATATTATTTCGGAGTTAAAATAAAAAATAAAAAAATTATCGAGTTAAAATCATGAACTCGTCATTGATATTCTATAGGGAGAAATTTAAAAATAGCCAGATTTATAACTGGTCATTCAAAAATAGCCCAATTTCAAAAGTAATCGAAATTTAGCCACTTTTCATGTAAAGATAAATCTGAGCAAAAACACTGTTCAAAACCCGGAAAATACGCCCGTATATTATACTGGAGTTCCAGCATAAGTATGCTTGAATTCCAACATATTATACGGGAGTTCCAGGATAACTATGCTAGAACTCCAGCATAATATATTGGAGTTCCAGCATAAGTACACTAGAACTCCAGCATAATATACTGGAGTTCCAGCAAGTATAAATGTCCAATATAATATACTGGAGTTTGGAGCACCGGTGCTCCAGTCTCCCGTATATTATACAGGAATCAGCAAAGTATACCGGTCCAGCATAATATGCTGGAGTTCGTACACAGATGCACCGAACTCCCGTATATTATGCGGGACCGATCTCTGTTGCAGCAAAATAGTGGCTATTTTTCATTGACTTCGTAAACGGTAGCTATTTTTGAATGACCAGTCCGAAAACTGGCTATACCGTGCTATTTTAACTATTCTATAAAACGAGATAGAAAGAGCGTTAACTATATAATCACTGAATTTCTAACTTCTATACGAAAACCCAATTGCAAAACTGTGAGATTTGGTCTTTCCTTATCCAAATGTACATCTTACCTAACAAAATATATGCAAATTTATCATCAAAGCAAAGATCACTTAACTATTCATTCTTCACTGAGCATGCAGCTACTTTTGGTACCATCACTCTAAAAGATTGTTATTTAAAAATTAGACAGTGTATCTTAAATTTTAATTTTTCAGTTTAATTTTAATTGACAAAAATATCTCAAAGTTAAGATTTTTAATTTAAAATTTCAGGACAAAATAAGTTTTGGCTAATCTTTAAATAGCATCCCTAAAAATGGCTATATGTTTACTTCCCCCCCCCCCNGTGGATGATCTTGAATTTTTGTCCCCAATTGCCTCCTGGGCAGAATTTCAAGTCTAAAAAGTATTGCTCATCGCTTGCGCCATGAGCAACAGTTTTAACTTTTGACCTTGAAATTTTGCCCACGAGACAAGCGGGGTTCAAAAAATAAAGATCACCCCAAAAAGTGTTATTTTCTGCAATTTTTAGATTTTTAGAGTTATTGCTTATACTCCGTTCTTGTTTTAAAAGTTTTGCAAATATAACCTATTGCTTAACAACCGAAAAATGGAAAATTTCATCCA